TCCCAGCCATCAGGAAGTCTATCCCCTCCTTGGTGGCCCAGGCCTGAGGGGCAGGGCAGGGGGGGCAGGCTGTCGCTCATATCCCCATTTGGCTCCCATGACTTCAATAACAACGCCCCCTACCTTTCCTTCCTGGGTACGCATGTGGTGGTCGCTACAACCCTGCAGGCCAGGCTTGCTCTGAGATCGCTCACCCTTGCCTCTTGGATCATAGGAAGAGACCTTACTGGACCCAAGGATCCCTAAGTGATAACAACACAAGTGAAAATGAACCTGCCCAAATGAAGAGAGACTGAAAGTATTAACACACCATCTATCTCTTTCTTGATAGACCAGAAAAATTCCTGGAGTGAGAAGTGTTATGTTCTTGTTATGCACTTGCTTCTAGTGAGTAGATGCTTTTTTCTTTAAATACATGAGATAGAATTGTCTTCTGGTTCCTGCAGTGGGTCTTCACAGCTCAGCTCTTTGGCTCAGTCTTCTCAATGGCATTTTCTTATCTTTATTGTTTTAATATTTTTTTCTCATACACTCCAATATTGATTTGACTTCTGTCTCTGTTGGAAAATGTGGATTCATTCAACAGATATTACTGACCACCTGTTTAGGACAAGCATGATACAGCCAAGAACCAAACACACAAAATCTCTGCCTGCTTGGAGCTGACATTCTAGTGGGATAAATAAATGAGTGGGAAGAGTGACAGACTTTGCTCACCAATTATTCAAGAACAGCAGAGCCTTATCTCAGAATCACCTGGATGGCAGGCGTGTGGGAGTCCCAGCCCAGTTCTGACTGAATCCGGGCACTCATTTAGTAAAATGCTGAGACTTAAATTGGAAATGAAAACTCTAGAAAACATTTGGCAGCAACAGTACAGCCTTGAGGTCCTCCCAGCAGACCCTAACAGAAAGTGGGCCAAGACATCCTCCCTCCTGGGCCACAGAATGCCACATGGTTTTGGAGCCTGGAGGCTCCAGGGCCTTTGTATCCATGTCTATCAGAAGGAAAACAGCATCTTCTTTCAGGAGATTGGGGTGGGGCTCCCATCACCACGTGGTCCCCAACAGCTAACTCATTTACTGCAAACATGGTGCTTAGAATTTCACTCCCCACATTCATAGCCCCCAAACAATTCCTGAGGCAACTCTTGCTGTTTCTCTTACCCAAATAAGGAAACCGAGATGAAAATCAATGGCCAATTTAATGCTTGTTTTTTGTTTTGTTTTGTTTTTAACTTATCTTTATTGTTGAAAGTATGACAAATATCCCCTTTTTCCCCCACTGATCTCCTCCACCATGCACCCCTCCCCCCAGTCTTTCACTGCCCTATTGTCTGTGTCCATGGGTTATGTACATATGCATATAAGTTCTTAAGTTAATCTCCCCCCACCCCATCC